CGCTTTTATGTTATACTTTTTTGCACTAGTTATTAGTCTTGTTTGACCATATAATTATTATAGTCACGTGGGTGGGATCTTATTAGTTTCCTCTTATAAAATACTTTCACAATATCAACTTCCTATAATTTTTACTCTTACACAATTATAGATTTTTAACATATAAAATATGTTTTGAGATGTGTAATTTCATTGTTGTTTTAATATTATTAGAACGGAAGAAGTATACTCTTAATTTCGTTAGTGGATTTTAAATTTCTTTGATTTATTTTATGGGATAGTTATGAATTTAATTTTTAAATTAATGTATTAGCTGGTGGTTATTTAATTGCATGATTTATTTAGTTGGTGTTTGATTTAATTGTTTGTTGTAATGTGCGCTGTGTATTATGCTGAAATTAGTGTTTTATGCTTCAAATGGAAGTATTTTAAATATGAAAAATGCAGGGGAAGATATGTCTTTTTTTTTTTTTTTTAAAATTTTATTATTATTACTAGCTTAAGTACCGTCGATTTTTTTAACCTGAATTACAATGTTAATTTTTAACAATAATTTGAAAAAAAAAACCGAATGTTTTCAATTGAAACAAAATAACTTGAATTTGTTTTTTTTTTAAAAAAAAAACTTAAATATTATATGTATATTGATGTCAAAAGTTATTTATCATTGTTAAACGTTTTTATTTAATGATCATAGGTTTTATATAAGAATGAAAATTTATGTTAATTACTATCCGTACAATGTACTTATAAACCCCATCCGTACCGGCACAATGTTTATACAAATTTAATTGACTTTTTTCCCTTTTTTTTTGGCGATAGTTAAATCAATTTTTATTTATTACATTGTTATTATAAATTAATCAATAAACATACTAAGCTAAGTGTGTAATGATCAATTTTAATAAACATATACTTCCTCTTGTTTGACCGTATAATATGATTTATATGTTAAGCAAAATATTGTCACGTGGGATCTTCTTAGATTTGTCTCATAAAATACTTTCACAATATCACTTTTTACTGTTTTACAATTATAGATATTTAACATATAAAATGTGGTTTGGGATGCGTAATCTCATTCTTGTTATAATATTATTGGAATGGGGGAATTACTAAGCTAAGTGTCAATCCCGGTTGGAGCAAAAAAACTTTCAAAGAAAATATACATAGTTGAGTGATAGTATATTCTAATATATTACCTTATACTTAGTATATGTTTATATGAAAGATATGTTAAAATATTTTTGTTGGATACAATATAGAATATACTTCGTATATAATTGCCTAAAAAAAAAAAACATATGACGATTTGGCAAAAAAAAAAATAAAGAAAGGAAAGTTAAAGAAGTGGGAAATTTTTTAACCAGATTTCGCCTTAAGTATATAGTTATTGATTATGCCTTTTCAATGAGAATATAAATGTGATCTAAGTTTTACAAGTATTAATTTGCCATTCAGCTAAGCCAAGTTTGGATCGGTAAAATTAGTTATTGCTAGTAAAATAAGTTATAATCCGAAAAAAAAAAATAAAAAAATTATTGTATTACAAATAGTAACTAGTAACTTTATACGAAGTATAATAAAATTCAGTTATGTGAAAATCACTATAAGACCCTATTCACTTTACCTTAAAAAATAATATTTAGTAAAAATAATTTCAATTTTATAAAGATAAGTTAAGTTTATTAAGAATAATTTAAGTTCAATAAACAAAATTTTTAATCAGTAAAAGTTGAGTAGCTTTAAATAACAAATGTAATAGAGAATCAGTTAAAATAAGTAAAAATAATTTCAGTTTAATAAAAATAATTTAAGTTCAGCAAAAATAGGTGAAGAGATCAGGGCCTAACATTAGTGATTAGGCAACTAGCTTAGGTTAAGGTCTTTGGTATAGGATTAAATTCCTTCACGGAGTACATCATAGCTCTTGTGGCTCTCTTTACGAAAAATAAAATAAAATTTGATGGTCTAGATAGTGATTAAAAGAGTATTCTCTTTTATCTCAAGCTAGAAGATTTTCTCCCTGAAATGAATTACTTTGTATATTGCTAGAAAGTGAAATTATTTTTTGTAGTAATTACATTTATTATATTAGGATTAACAAATGCTCTGCTTTTGACTTGTTTGATCATGTGAACTTAAATCAAGGACACAGTTACTTGATGGCATGCTTTCCTTCATGTGAATGCTTTGGCTCATTCCTTTCACCATAAATTAAGAAAAGGGAGGTGTTTTATCAGATTATTCTGAACGGTTGTCGTTTCATACAAAACAAATCTGCCCAGTTTGGTGAAATCTTCTATGCTAGCAATGCTTGGAGTCCTTACCTAAGTACTGGTGGCTTCCTGTTTATTAAATGCTTTGATAACTAAGTCAAGTTAAAACAATATATTTTGTTGCAGGCAATTCAACATTGTCTTTAAATCTGAAGATGTTATGAAATATGTAATTACAACATCATTTGTGGGTATGAAATTACAAAGAATTAGCTTAATTATGTAAAGACCATTTTGTTGCTGCAAGGCTTGCAACTGCTTATTAAAGTTGGATGTCAATATGTCATTCTCATTCTTGCTCTGTTAACCTTTTGCGTACTTTATCTGTTATATATTCTGTATGTATTGCGTTGCTTGTCCACAGCTCCATGCAGTTTATTACCATTCTTTTGCTCTTTTTTTTCCCTATCGGTATGATGTTCTTGCCCAAAGTTACTAGAGATTGCACTGACTCCTAGTGCAACTATTTCCAGTCGTTTCTTACAGTACAGGGACCCTCATGCTCAAAGAAGGCATCCTCTGGTGGACCCTGTTGTCGTTTCTGAGATGAGAAGATGTCTTGAAGATGGTGTAGAGTTCCAAGGGGAGCTTCTCAATTTCAGAAAAGATGGCACTCCCCTGGTTAACAGGCTGAGGCTTCAACCAATATATGATGATGATGGAACTGTCACACATGTCATAGGCATTCAGATTTTCTCCGAAGCAAAGATAAACCTTAACCATGTATCTTATCCAGTTTTCAAACAGACGTATGACCAGAAATTCAAGTGCGTAAATGAGTATTCCACAAAGGTTGAAGAAACCTGCGGTATTCTCCAACTTTCCGATGAGGTCTTGGCTTATAACATATTATCACGCTTGACTCCAAGAGATGTAGCTTCAATTGGGTCTGTTTGTAAAAGGATATATCAGCTGACAAAAAACGAGCATGTCAGAAAGATGGTTTGTCAAAATCTATGGGGTAGAGAAGTGACATATAATTTGGAGCGAATGACGAAAAACTTGGGGTGGGTTCGACTGGCAAGGGAACTCACCACTCTGGAGGCAGTTTCTTGGAGGAAGTTTACTGTAGGGGGATCAGTTGAGCCTTCGCGCTGTAATTTTAGTGCATGTGCCGCTGGAAATCGTCTTGTTCTCTTTGGTGGTGAGGGTGTTGGAATGCAGCCTATGGATGACACTTTTGTACTCAACCTTGACTCTGAGCATCCAGAGTGGCGCCGTGTGAGTGTCAAGTCCTCACCTCCTGGACGATGGGGTCACACACTCTCGTGCCTTAATGGGTCCTGGCTTGTTGTATTTGGAGGGTGCGGGAGGCAAGGATTGCTCAATGATGTCTTCATCCTTGACCTAGATGCCAAGCAGCCAACTTGGACTGAAATCTCTGGTGGGACTCCCCCAGTACGTCGGTCCTGGCATAGTTCTTGTACTTTAGATGGGTCCAAGTTGGTTGTATCCGGGGGATGCACAGATTCTGGGGTGCTCCTTAGCGACACATACTTGCTCGACCTCACTACAGATAGGCCGGTTTGGACGGAGATTCCTACTTCCTGGGCCCCACCTTCGAGGCTCGGTCACTCACTTTCCGTTTATGGGAAAAAAAAATTATTCATGTTTGGGGGACTGGTGAAAAGTGGGCAGTTGAGGCTACGGTCTGGTGAGGCCTATACCATTGACATAGAGAGCGAAAACCCTCGATGGAGGCAATTAGAGTGTGGTGCACTGGCCGGTACGGGAAGCCAAGGAGCGGTGCTTCCTCCTCCAAGACTTGATCATGTAGCTGTGAGCATGCCATGTGGTAGGATCATTATATTTGGAGGTTCGATTGCTAACTTGCATTCTCCTTCTCAGCTTTTTCTGTTGGATCCATCGGAGGAAAAACCGTCATGGAGGACTCTTAATGTTCCTGGGCAGGCGCCTAAGTTTGCATGGGGTCATAGTACATGCGTTGTTGGTGGGACTCGAGTCTTGGTACTAGGTGGGCATACAGGTGAGGAATGGATACTGAATGAGTTGCATGAACTGTGTTTGGCCAGCAAGCATGACTCTGATCTCTGAAACTTTTCATCATGCTGCTTCCCTCTACAGTTATGCCGTGAGGGTTTATTTTATGCTGGGAAGCAGTTATCCTTTGTATTTATAGTCTGAAATTTCTATTGTGTGTTACATTCCAATTGCAGTTGCTGTTGTAGTAATGCACGAAAATTTTGTTGTATCATTGTATATTAGCACCACAATCTTTATCCTTGTAGTTTCCTGAATTTGATTTGATTGGCATCCTTGTGTTGGGCCTTTTCAGTATTCTGTGTGGTTTAATACCGATTATGAGGCTGGAGTGTATAGATGCTTTTGCACAAAGGAGCTCAAGATGTTATATTGTGTATTGGTGGCAGTAGTGACTCGGTTGATCTGGGTGCTGTGGCCAGATCAGGGACTGGTACTTGTGTCGAAGTAGCTTTGGTACAGCTAGCTCAGTGCAAATCTTTTGCCACCGTCTTTAAAGTTTCGAGTCAGTATGTTCTTAGCCACAGTTTTCTTTTCTTCTTTTCTCTGTTTCAGTTGAGCTAGTCATAATCGAGAATCACACATTTTGAGCACATTAGAATTGTATGCTACATATATCTATATTCAAGTGAAGGAGAACCTAAGGTTTCTGTTTGTCAGGCTATATAATATTTTTGTGTTATTTTGTTTGAAATCTTTGTATGTTTTTTGACAACGGTGGCAATAGAAGAGCAATGGTTTGTAATTATTTGACTTGATTTTATTTATTTATTGTCATTATTCAAACTGAACAGATTATATATACCATAAAGGTGGGTAATTGAGTAATTCTCTAATTATATGATTGGAATTTTGATTATTTATGTCCAATATAGTTGGACTATGAGGCTCATTTACTAAAGTTAGCTACCTGATTATTGAATGAAGAATTTGATTATTGAAGCCTTAGATAATCGGTTAAAGATGGGTGTGTAATTTTCACTCTACATACAATATGTTTGGATAGAGAGAAATGGAGGGAAAGGAAGAGAAGAGAAAAGGAGGGATACACCTTCCTTTGGTTGGATATCTAATGCATGTTGGGAAGGCGAGATAATGAGAAAGATTCATATAAGGTGCCCATTAAAATTGTCACTGTAACTCTATTTGTTTGGAAGTTTTGGGACTTCTCTCAGCTAAAACTTGCATTCAAAACTACATTGCAAAAATATTTTGATTCAAAACTTACATTCAAAACTACATTCAATTGAGGTTTATTTTTATTGAACATATTGATTAGTCCCATACAAACAACTATATCAGGCTGTAGTCAATGAGGCTGAGGCAGTAAAACAACACTTGATCTCAAAATTTGGTGGTTCTTCATCATCATTGAGTGTTGCTAGTTCTCAGTTCACCATTACCTACAGCTGCCCTCTCTCTTGCTTTGATAGCCTGCAAACATTTTTGACTGTTTCAGCTCACTGACAAGCACATTGTGAATACAAAAAAAAAAAAAAAAAAAAAAAAAAAAAAGGAGAACATTGCAAAAGAATTTAAGGTTAGACCTGTTTTTGCCAGTTTGTAAGAGCGGCAATTGTGATCAGCAGTATCGATTGCAAGATTGACCCTACTAAAATACCAATCCATAGACCCTTTGCATTCAAATGGCGAACAAAAGCGAGCACTATTGCTACTGGGATTCCGACTATGTAAAATGCTCCCAGGTTCACATATGCTCCTATACGCTGCCATCCACTTCCTTTTGCAACTCCTGCATTGTGTTTTTGCATTTTAGAATTTAGTATCAGTCAGTTTTGCTAGCTACATCTAAGTAATCATGTATATTAGGCTTTTAGTACAGGAAAGTTTAACCTCTAAAATAAATAACACATTTATGATTAGCCATATGAAACAATATTGAGCTTTTGTAAACTCACCAGATAGGACCATCTGTAGGCCATCAGTGATGATGGAAAGGCAAAGGAAGGGGGCCAATGTTGCAACATAACTCACAACTTGTTCGGTATGACTGTAAGCGTATCCCACTATATGTCGAATACAAAACAGAATCACACCCGCTACAAAGGTCTCTATTACAACTGCACTTGTTACAACCCAGGCAGATAACCTTGCAGCTTCTGCGTTTCCTGCACCTAGCTCATTTGCCACTCTTATGCTGCAAAAATGTCATTATAAACTTCTAGCAATTATGTTGGATGCATTGTGAAGATATGAATAGCGAAAGAGTTGTTATGAGGGCAAGAGAATTACCCTACTGAAACACCTAATCCGACTGGAACTGTGAAAAGTAATGTTGATATGTTGAGACTGTCAATAGAGATAATAGTACTCCCTTGGTTCGAAAAAGATTGTCCACTTTGCAAATTGTGACGTGAGTCACAGTTTACGAAATGGATAATTTCTTTCGAATGGAGAGAGCAACCACGAAGTTAAGTTAGATGTACTACGGAGTATAAAAAATGTACTGCAATAGTCAGCAATTTGGACTAGTCTGCTACTGAAAGCACAATCATATGTACTATAAAACATTGACATACCATATGGAAAGCACTGATGTCTCGAGTTGTGGATTGGGAAGGCGACCTGAAAGCAACACCACAGCTTCAAAACCCCACCACTTGAGGCTAGTGTTGGCGTTCGTTAACATATTACATGACATGAGCGTATGGCAGATAGAAATCTATCAAGGAGAACATTTCAAGAAATTTACCAACATAACTTGAGAACTATAGGATAAGGAAATTTACCAAATCATTAAAGCAGCAGGGAAGCCAAACCGAAGAAAAAGCCAGATATTGTAGAAAGCTTCTTTGGAGAAGTGTGTACGAGTTTTCTCACAAATAGAAGAACACTTGATGTAAATCCCAAGAAACAGAACGTTGAGCCAACCGCAAAGACTAAGAGAGAAGGCAACTGATTGAATTCCATAATTCAATTTATACACAGAAATCCAGCATGATAAAGTGGTTATACCAAGAACAACTGCAAAATTCATTAGCAGAGGGATAACAAGACTTTGGCATTGTAAAAATCTAACCAAGGGATCGTAGAAAGCGCTTGCTACGAGTCCTGGGATTAGCCAAACTGCAAATTTTTGTGCTTCAACTGAGATTTGATGATCTTGCCCTATTAGAATCAGTACTTTGTCCATGAAAATCCATAATAGGATTATAGGAATGCAAATAAAAAGCAGAGATATTATTGCACTGTAAATGTATGTTCCAATTTTTTTGTATTGTTTTGCTCCATATGCTTGCCCACATAATGTATCCAACCCACCACATAGTCCAATCTGCCAATCAATTATAGAATGCAAGATTAAATCACATATTATCAACTTAATCAACGCTATTAATTGATGACACTAATTGTGCTCGGCGTGACCATAGTGATTTAAGGAGATGACTTGTTATATTGTTGAGAAGTGACTTTTATATCGTGTCAGGGCACCTTTCATTCATCAAAGGGTGACTTAGTGACTTGCATTATTATATTGTTTAGGTATGACTTTTTATATATCTAGGAGAGACTTGTTGCAGAAAACTCCAAACAATATATGAATACTACAAGTACATACTCATTTAGTTTTGTGTTAGTTTTTAAAAGTATAAGAAAATGAAGAAGAGGGTTACAACTTACAAAAAGACTAAAGCCGGAGATGTTGGTAACAGAGAGGGCAATAGAAACACTAGCCAAAGGAAGTTCCCCAAGATGTCCAACAATCATCAACGCCACGACTTGCACCATATATTGGAGTATTGCCACTGTTATCATCGGTGCTGCAAGCAGACTCACCTTCTTTACCTCTTTAATCAATCTTTTCCATGTGAAATGATTACTAGCTTCATCGATCCCTGGATCTGATGTTCCTGACTCCATTATAATCCTGTGCAAATTTTAAAGAGTTTTTTTTTTTTTTTTTTTTTTTTTTTTCAGCTCCGAAAAGTATAATTACTGCCTTCACTGGATACAGAACTTGAAATTTTTAAAAGATGAGTCTGAATACAAAAAGTGTATACACTGAGAGACATATAACACATTAAATCCGAATAATGGACATATTGACCAAAACTACTTTCATTAGCTCAATCGCATAGCAAAATAGCTAGCTAGTAATTAAAATCTCTAGTCTCTACAACCCAATATGTAAAATATGAAAAGCAGAACCATAAAACACGAAAGTATATTAAATAGACTAAAACTAAAATGTTACCTTAGAAGCCCGACAGATTGAAAAAGAAGAAGAAGCAAAGAGAATATGTGTACAAATGTACTCTATTCGTTATATTTAATGTGATTATGTGAATCAATTTTGTTGTGATTCTGACATCTAAATATGGCATAGGTGTGGTAATGGCCTCTTTAAGAGATTTGAAAGATTGTCAAAGTACACTTGAAAATACAATTATTGTCAATGTCTTTTGTTTATTTCTTGGGTGAATCTATTATTTTATTTAATCTCTACAGCTACTCCGTATAGCTTAATTATAGCTGCTTAAGAGTATTAAAAAATGCACAAATTTTATACGTAGCTGGCCACACCGTGTGGTCTGGATTACTCAAGTTACTCGGTCAGAGGTTACTTGAAAGATTCGGTCAAGGGTTACTCGGTCAAGGGTTACTTGAGGGGTTCGGTCAGGGGTTAGTTGAGAGGTTACTCGGTTAGGGGTTACTCAAGGGTTTACTCGGTAAGGGGTTACTAAAGGGTTTACTCGATTGGTCAGGGGTTACTCGAGGGGTTCGGTTAGGGGTTACTTGAGGGGTTACTCGGTCAGGAGTAAATCGAGTAACCCCAGCCACACAGAAAAATCCCCGGGTTATTCGGTCAGGGGTTTTTTAAGGGGTTACTCGGCCAGGGATTACTCGAGGGGTTACTCGGTCAGGGTTTACTTGAGGGGTTCGGTTAGGGGTTACTTGAGGGGTTACTCGATTAGGAGTAACTCGAGTAACCCCGGTCTTATGATGTGGCCAACCACACAGTAAAATTGACCTAAAAAATGATGATATAGTATAACAAAGGATATCTTTATTATAAGCCAAGGGGAAGAGAGTGAAAAGTTGGTGTCCAACTTTTGAACTCCCCAAATTACCCCTATTAGTCTAAAAAAATATTCAAATAAATCTGCCAAATCACCCCAATTTCTAAAATTTTAAATCTATATTATTATTATTATTATTATTATTATTATTATTATTATTATTATTATTATGCCACAAGTTTGATTCGAATTTACTCCGTGAAGTTTTTTTTTTTTGTTAAAGGGGTAGAAAAGCTAGATTAAGGATGCTCCGAATGAGCTAAGTTAAAATTATTACATACTATAGAGATAGGAGTTAATACCCCACGCAGGGGGGTTCAGTACAAGAGCTACTAGCAAAAGAATTGGCAGCCAAATTCCATAAGATATCATGCCCACCAAGCTCCAGACCACTTTGGAACTTTGATGTGCTAGAAGATGGGTTTGCACCACCTGCTACCTATTTAGACACCAAATTCTCTTCTTCACCTCAATTCCTTTTCTAAGAAGGAAACTATTTTGATTTAGGGAGATCAAAGAGTTCAGCGAGGGTCTTAGTCTGTGCACCAGAATCTTAGTCGTCACAATTTTACAAGTAGTGGTATAGTGGCTAATAGGTCTGAACTGATTAATAACCTGGGGGAGCCCACCTTAGAGATCAGACTAAGGATTGTTTAACTATAATATTTCTTTATTATGGTTATGTAGACATCTAAAAATATCTCCCAAAACTAAACCCGATAATGAACAATCTTTTACCGTCATTATTGGTCGGGTCGAGTATTTAATCTCGGGAGTGCTTAAAATCCTTTTTCAATCAAACATAGTTTACAAATCAGTCCACATTTTCAGTCCTAGTATTTAGTCAAGCATTGTCCAATCTCCATTTCAGTCCAAACCATTTTAACCCATTTCATTTTATTTATTAATTGAGCCCAATTAATTAATATTATAAAACCCTAAACCTAAAATGAGCCCGAAATAGCTGAAACGGCGCCCAATTGTCATGTGCTTTTGAAAAAAATAAGATAAAAATGAATTTAAAAGAATCTTCCAGAAACAAAATTGCCGCGCTACGGCACGGCAGTTTTTGTCGTGCCACGACAATCCTGTTTACTCGGTTTTATCTTTTTACGCATTTTGATTTTAAAAAATGATAGAATTAGGTACCCAACCGCGTCACGGCAAACTTTGCCGTGCCACAGTGTATATTTCTTCTGCCGTGAACGGTTTACAAGTTTCTTAAAAACTTTTTGGCGGCTCTATACTTTATTTGTCCCTCATCGTTGTCCCTAATCGTATATGTCAATTTCCACTTCCTATGATTGCCAAGCATATTCACACATGCTTAAGTAGACGCGCTTCGAATGACGCCTACAATTTGGCGATTCCACTGGTTATTTATCGATTTGAGTGATAGATATTTAATTGAGATGAGTGGATGAGACTTAAAAGATTCTTTAATCGTATTCCTGTGATTAATTTGGCATTTTTGCATATGCATTGACGTTTTAACGTCGTATTTAGATTCGCCTCGTAGGAAAAATTGAATAACCTGATTGCGATGGAAGAAACAAAGGCATTGTTATGTTTTTATTAGTACCGCGCAACGGCAGAATTGTCGTGGCACGGCACAGAGCACCGTGGTACGACACAAAGCACCGCGACACGGAAATCTGTACCTCTCTGCCGTGGCACGGTACTGCTAAAAACACTCCAGTGGTTCTGCTTTTTTCTTGTTATTAGCTTCCTTCGATTTTTTTCTTCTGAAAACCGTATGTGCTCTACATACGTTTCAGCCCTGGGGAATTAAAGCTCTATCAACCCGAAAACGTTCATGATAATAAAGGTTCATTCGAGTTCTTAAATCCACCTAAACCATGGAGTTGAGTTTGATTTCATCACAAACTTGCGGAGCCGCCTGTTGGCATACACCCTCAAGGGAGGCTACCTTGCTAACGCGTCCAAACTCTTAACCATGGTACCCTTTTGACATCCAAGTAAACTTGACCATAGTGGAACATAGAACTTGACCTTAGGTTGTGAACTTCATTGCATCATTGTGACTACGTGCCCTACGTGTGCATACTTGATTGTTTTTATCCTAACCTTAACGATCGTTCTTTGTCCATGATGTTGGTTAACTTTTTTTGATTTATGACTAACGAATGCCAACGGACCGTACTCACTTAGTAAATCAGTGCAAACACTAAAATTGACAAAAAAACTAGAATTGAGTACCGCGCCATGGCAAAAATGCCGTGCCATGACAATCGGTACTGCACCACAGTACAACTGTCGTGGCGACAACAATACTGATTGTCATGCCATGACAGTTGTACCGTGGCACGATACCCAGGGGAAGAGCAGTTAGTCAAGTTTTGGTCTTCCGTGCTATTTTGGTCCTCGTGTTAGTCATTTTTATACTGTCTACATGTCAAGCCACACGATCATACCACGAGTCTTATAACATCACTTAATCACTCACGAGTCAAGTATAGTCCACACACTTTATTTTTGACTTGAGTCGTGCACTATGCCGTTTATGATCGTATAATAGGTTCATGCATGCGTCCTCTTTTCCGTCATAAAAAAAATGAGTGGAGTTTTTTCTCACCTGTTTTCAAAATTCTATCTTTCCCTCTTTTAAGCAGTGAGTCAAACCATTAAGTAAATTTGTTTTATTTCACAGTACTTGGTCAAGGAACAAGGAAAGATAAGTACATCTCGGTGCGCTACCACAACAACCTCTTAAATCTAAGAGGTGTCTAAGGAAACCTCCATCGTCTCCATAAAGGCCATCACCATCACCTCCAGTTCACTTTTATTTCACTCCAATGGCTAGCAAGGAAGATATCGAGCAAATCAACAAGTCTATTGTTGTACTCACTTCTATGTTGGAAGGCCTTACTACTAAGGTCACCACCATGGAACAAAACAATGCTACTCTTGCATCAGTTGAGAAGCTGAAAGATAAGGTGAGCAAAATCACTGATGAGTTTACCTACGTGGAACAACCTTCCTTCCACTACTTTGGCGGTGAAGGACAAACTTCTTGAAAAGTTCTCCACTTCTAACATACCAAAGTTTAAACCCACTGACAATCCGATGTTCCATTTGAAGGCTTTTTCTGCAACCATGGCTCTCAAAGGAATAGAGGTGGCACTCTTCCCTACAGTGTTTCCTCTTTCTTTAGAGCATGCTTGACAACAGTGGTTCTATTCTCTAGATGCCAAGTACACTGCAACTTGGGAAGATGTCACTGAGAGTTTCATGAATCATTACAAATGCAATATTCAAACCACGACTTCCGAACGTGAACTCTCGATCCTTAAGTAGAAAGAAAATGAAGGGTTCACTGCCTATCTGAATAGGTGGAGAGAAACAACTGCGCAAATGGTTGAGCCACCAAAGGGAAAGGAGATGGTTCGTCTTTTTATCCAAAATTTGACTCACAAGTACAATCAACATCTCAAATTTCTGCAATTGAACACTTTCGAAGCTGTATACGATATTGACATTTTTATTGAGGACGAGCTAATAAAGACTGCTGGTAGTAGTAATAATAATAACACTTGGAAAAATAAGTAGAACGACCTTAATGTTTGGGCCTAGTCCATGTCCTAAGCCCAATCACCTAAAATGACAAAAATACCCCTTCATGATCCAGCCCACCATTAATCATTACAAAGTACTGATTTACCCTTAATTTGTCCACTCAAGTACAAGTTTGCCAATTGAAGAGTACATCTATAAATAGCTCATCATTCATTAATGATGGGGACTCTTTCTAATTCTCTCTCTACTTTCTCTCACTAGAAAGTATTCTATCTCTCTATTTTCTCTCTTAAAGTACAATTTGCTGACTTAAGTATCGGTTGGGATTTTCCGGGTCACACCCCGGGGCAGCTAACCTTCTCTTTCTTGCAAGTCGAGCCTTCAGACATCAAGGTTGAGCTCTCGGACATACCCTTGCAAGGCGGAGCTAAAGGACAATTGGACATAGATTCTAGGATATCTTGATATACCCGAAATACCCTAACACGCTTAGTGAAAGGAAAAGTGTCCTTCAAATAAGTGTATTATTCCGATAGAGGGTTTAGATTCAATTACGGAGTTAATTATTTAGTGAAGTCAAGTGATTGAAAAGTCGGGCTAGAGGCCATCTCCGATCGGTGAGATTAATTATTTAATCTCACAGCTTCTTTTTAACTAAACCCAACGGATCACACCCAAGCGTGCAACCGAACTAAGGCGACGAATTAAGCCAAAGGTCTTAATACGTCAAACAAGAGGATACATGTTTTGACGCCAGATTCCATAACA